CTCTAGAACCTACGACTTGATAGTGACTAATATTGTGGATTCCGTGTTAACCAGCCGTGAAGCATGCAATCGTCTCGGTCAGTTATCTCACTCTTTCCACTGAGACTATCACCAGACAGGTTTAATTTACGAGCTTCCCCATGCGGATTACAGCAGATCTAATTTAACTGAAGCTGACGCCGTTAATCGAACAGCTGCTATGTCCCGAAGGAACGAGGAATTTGTATGTTAACTTCTTTTCCTCTATACCTCGGCTTGAAATTAACTGGCGTTAACTATCGGTTAAAGATCACATTCGAACTCAGTTGACATGACTTCGAATATGATTTATTTGAGACAAAAGAAAAGATATTCTATTATTCTATTCTATTCTATTATTCTTATTCTATTGAGAAAATTTGCAAAAGTTATAAAGCTTATGATATTTAAATTGTTTAAATGAAACTGATTCAAAACTATTTTTAAAGATATTAATTAACAAAAGATAATATTGACTCGAAGACGTTCTAGCGCAGGCTTTTATTCTGACATTATTATTTTTATAACCGCCACCGGTTGGCGGTACCCTCCCCAACTTTGTGATTCTGCTTGCAACTATTAGAACATAACATGCATAAGTTCTCCTTTAATAAATTAGAAAAACTTCTATCTGTTCGTCTGCCCGCTTGGATAATGCCCTTTAGTAGAGCTGCTAAACTGGCGTGTATGCATACATAACATAACACTCAACAAGGTCGTAGGATAACATGTAGATTTCACCACTATTGCCGAATTCATATCGTATTTCAATAGCGTCAATCTTCGAATAAAATGTGTTCACATTTCATGGCAATTCGACCATGATTTTCCTCCCTAAAACTGTTTAAGTGATGATGCTGAAAAGGCAATGCCTGTTTACTACTTTGTACAAACATTTATTAATGAGAAATATTTAGTCAAAGTGGATACCGTGCTTGCTTACTTTTCACGGAGAACAAGAGCTTTTTGGAGCTTTTTAGGCGCAATAAAAAGGATTTATCATGCGATAAGTAAAAATATATGAGATATGGATGCAGCGCTAGACTTCATAGTTGAACTGGCAATAGATCGAATGGACAGCAACCGATGGAAGCCGTCCAAAGCGAGTAAAAACGCAAAAACAATATGCTTTGATCCTAGGAATTAATTGGGTGATGTGTTGCATATCATGGAATGTATTCGAATTCATAGATCAAAAATGAAAATTAGAAAGATTCGTTCGAAAATAGAGCTCTTGAAACGTATAAAAGCAATTGGAAAACGTAATCTTATTCTCATTAATAATCGGTGACTTATGTCAATTTTATTAAAGTTATATAAACATCTTTTACAAAAGTAGGCTCGAATGGTGTGAAAGTAGATAGTACTACGATCGAAGAGCGCAATGTTCATATAGTTGAGGTAAGATAGTGTTCAAGATAGTGTTCATCCGCTTTCTTAGTTGTCTCAACTTTCTGTACGTTAAAATTTGTGTGCCTGTAAAGAGAAAGGCGCGGATATGTTAGATATGAAACGAAATACCGCAACGATATTATAATAGGGTTCCTGCGATGAACTTATATTCATAGTTTCACGGGGAAACCAATAGTATGCGGAGAGAGAGACAGAGAGAGAGAGAGAGAGAGAGAGAGAGAGAGAGAGAGAGAAAGAGAGAAAAAAAGAAAAAGAGAGAGAGAGATAGGAAATAATTTATCTCATTGCAGCAGAAAATCATCAGCAAAAAGTAAAGTTAAGCTCAACCATATCTTTGCACACAATATATACAAGATATTAACATTAGCGTTGCAGAGGCAAAGTAAAGGTGAAGAAGCGCTAAAAAATCAACAGATTGAGTCTAAGTGAAAAAATAGGACGAAGAAAGTGTAGAGTTAATTAAGTGTTACGCTTCAGAAGATTAGAAGCAAAAATAAATTTTATAATCGTTATTAACCTGTCATCGCAAACATCATAAGTTTGATAAGCGGCATAAGGAAATTAGACAATAAGTTTATGATATCCTTTCATAATAGTTGTAAATCGACTGACTAATTAATCATCATTCATTTTTAATACTTTTGTCTGGCTATTTGACATGGAAACGCGTAAAAAATACAAATATTTTACCACTCACTTTGAGGCATTTAGTGTAATGCAACACCACATAGTAGTATTGACACTAGCAGTAAAAGCAACATAGTATAGTAGTATACTTGTCAGTGCGATGACAATAAAATTGCTAGTTTGACACTAATTGACAGTTGTAAGTGACACAAATAAGCAAATTTAGGGAGAGAGAGAGAGAGAGAGAGAGAGAGAGAGAGAGAGAGAGAGACACAGACATTCATTAAAAGAACGAAAATGACTTATACCATTTACATTATTATTGCAAGTATGTTACAATGTTTTGCGAACGTTTAGCAGCAACAACAATTGCTAATAAACAGACTGAAACTGAAATCAAACATCAAGTTGCCTGTGGTGCAATAATAAGTATTTGTCACTTCACTACTTACCAGGGGAGCATGTGCGCAACTTACACATTTTTTTTGTCTTTATTTTATTTATCGTTCATCGTTTCGTTGATGCCGTTATAAACAAAAAAACATTAAATTGTTTGCCTCACTCTATGATCGTTTTGTTTCGTAATTGATAAGACGACAGACAGCTGTGATTTGTGAATGCGGCCCAAAACGTTAAGAAATATCACATGTAAATATGTAATATGCAATTCGCATATGATAATTGTATGATTTTTTTTTTTATTTTAAGTATACTTTCGTCCATCGCTAAAGGGAACCTACTAAAATCTACCATCTATTAGGGTCCACATAAGTGGTGTAAAAAAAAATCATAATAATATTAGATTTTTCTAGATCAAGATGTGTTTCACTTTTTCGCAATTCTTTGAAATGCGCGTAAAGTAAATAATTAATTATTTAGAATTCGAATACTTCTAGAGTGAGAGAAGTGTAGAATGCCATTTGCTGCCTTATCGGGTATAAAGATAAATGTGCGAGTGAACGTGAAGCTGAGTGAGTGCGTTTGCATACAAACTCTTGCAAAAGTGTTGTTAATGAGAAGCATAATTTATGATTAAAACTTCACATACATATGATATATTGAGGTCGATACCAATTAATAAGTAGCTTTAGCCGAATGGATGACATACGATAGCCTTCTCTCGCACTTAAGTTTCGTTCAATTATTTTCATAAGAGGATTGCGTGAGACAACTCTTGAAATATTTACACAATTTACAAAAAAAATATGTGGCGCATATGACGAATAAACAAAAAAACAAAAACAATTCAAATTTTATTCTTATGATTGTATTCTGTATTTTAATTTATATGAATTTTCAATGCGTATGAGCACATACGAGCAAACGGAGAAACGAACTCACACACTATCACGTCTATTTTATTCGGCTGATTGAGAGCAATTAAGAAAGATGGTTACGTTAAATTGATTATTTTAGTTCACGATTCACTTAAAAACAAGAAGCGTCTTGATACCGTACATCGCTTATGGTAGAGGGTATATTAAATTTGGACGGACGCACGTACCACTCAGGAGGGCTTAAGATGAATGGACGCACCTTCTATTATACCTAACGGTTCGGAGTCATTTTCTGAATCATTTCTAAGTTTGTCCGTCCGCCTGTCTGTCAGTGCGTCTGCTATCTATTGTTTATTAAATATCATATAGAATTTTGCAGGCGATCCTGGACGAACTAAATAGCTCACAATTACACCTACAATGACCAGAGAAAGAGAGACAGAGAGAAATTAATCTCCCCTAATATGCAGGACATCATTGATTAATAGTTAAGAATGAGACACTTAGGATAATTCTACGTTTCTCCTAAGGTAAGGTAAGGTTGAAAGAACCAATCCGCTTTCTTAAGGCGGGAAGGAGACTAGCGGACCCCACCACAAATCCCGAAGAATTTCCGGTCAAACTATGCTGCGTCAATATGAACATGTGGTAATCAGGTAACGCTACGTCTGTTGGGTCCTGTCCTTGAAAATTTCTGCAACGCGTGGCCGAATGTGTGTGTCATGCAAGAGAATGACTTTGCATTTTTTAACCCCAATTGTTGTTTTTTTTTTTTTTGCGACAATCCATCCTTCAATTTGTACAATTGACGTAGGCAGAAAGCTGCGATAATTGTTTCATTTGGTTTAACAGCTCTGTGGCCATAAATACTCTTCGCTCCGGTGTCGATGTGGATAGGTCTCCTGGGCTAACCCACAACTTTGTGCGCCTGGAGTTGTCGTAGTGTACTCACTTTTTATCGCCAGTTGCAATATGCCACAGACAACTTTTCGTTTTTTTCCCTGACAATCAATGAACCCGCTATGTTGAAATGGTTCCAACTGATATTTTCAGTCAATTCGTATGGAAGCCGTTTTATACCCTTTTGAATCTTTCCCATCGCATGTAAACGTCTAGAAACATTTGATTCATCTAAGCCGCTAAGCTGTTCGAACGTTCGTTGAGGCTGACAACTGGGTTTTCGTTCATTGACTTTGAATTTTTTTAAGCCGGTAAAGCCAAAATCATCGAGATAAGCTTCTAAAAGTGTTTGCCGCGTTTCGGCAGTAGATTTCTTCAAATCAAACAACAAAAGTAATGAATATCGAAAGCACAATTTTGAGCGTTTCATTGTCAGCGTCTATGTACACTTAATAACTCAATAATGCTAAATGGAAAACGGTTATTTTATGTAGAGAAAGGTCAAAATCATCGAAATTTAACTGTTGTGTACGTTGATACTTTGCTTTGCTTACTTTACTTACTTTATCATTTTCGCCAATCGAGTCCGCTGATCAAAATAAATACACACAAAAATATATTAAAGAAAATTCGTAGCATCGAACAGGCACCTCGATTGGTACCTTAGAATGCTGCTTGCTCCTTTTCCGTGCGTATACACGTTTATTCAATTACAACATTTAATTATATTTGAAGCATAAATTATGTTTTCGAAAAATTTTATAGGAAACGAATCCAACATCACGCAGCAAATGTCCGCAAAGTTGAAAAAAGTAAGGACAACGTAAAAGTATTTTGTAATGAAAAGGCTATTGAAGCCTTTAATAAATGCAATATAAATCATTCCAAACACTTTAACACTCTCGCCCATCATAAGCAACCATATCAGTGCCGTTTATTCAGCAGTGCTTCAACAAAGACCTTATAAGAGTCTGGTGAAGTAAAAGCTCTGTAGGCCATGCGGTGAGTTTGGACATATAAAATATATTTTTACTGGTATACGTTTTCATGGACATTTCAATGTGTATATGTGTGTTTAGCGGAACTAAAGTCTATACGCATACAATCATGTGGCTAAATTTCATAAATACATAACAAAGCAAAAAAAAAAAAAAAAAAATAAACAGAAAAATAATAAAAAAAAACAAAAAGGGAAAAACAACAACAAAATTCCAGTGCATGGACAAAGAAAAAAAAAAAAACGTAGAGAGAAAAAATGTAGAGTTTTATGTTTACACCACGCACGAACGAGTATAGTCACAGGGATGCCTCGCCAATGGGAGAGACATATGAACGATGATAACACATAAATAAATTTTATATATATATATACACACACACACACATACACACACACGCTTATGTACGTACGCAACCACGAACGTACACGTTCGTTTATATGAAACATTAACTACGAAAGGATTTTTGCCTTTTTTTTCTTTTCAAGAATTCCTAAACAAATGAAAGTCATTACCACAAAGCCGGGAACACAGCAGATCGTAGGCGAGAACATTCACTTATAGAATAATAATTTTATGTTGGTATGGATTTGGTTTTTGGTTTTTGTGCTATGGGAATACACCTAGCGTGTGCACTAACCACTAGCAGTTAAAGTGGTTTGCTCAAATACGACTTTTTTCATAGTTTTACGTTCGTGCAAATGTGTGTGTGTGCGTGTGTTTACTATGAAGTTAAAGATGATAATGGTGGGCACACTCTTTGGTATACATGTATTATTGCATGTCTGGAAATGTTTTAATCATGTTTGCGACAATAGCGGTTTTATTTGAACAAAACTAAGAATATTTAGTCGAACTACGAATTACAGATAGATAGAATTGCCATGCTTCATTATGGAACTACAAGTGTTTATAATATACATTATAACGTACTTACAGTAAGTAGCACAGGGTCTGTTAAGTTTATCTGGACGTTTGCGTAATATCTAGATGGGCTTAAGGCAAATCCACACATCGATTCAAAATCATTTCGATATCAGTTTATCTGTCCGATTGTCCTTTTATTAACCTGTTCGTGGCAATAGTGCGTAGTTAATAGGGTTCATTCTTGTGTCAAAGCATGTCGGTGTAGCAAATTTTAAATTAAATTTTCTTAAAAATTATGGCCTGTAATTGAATACAAGTCTCCATGGACACACATCGGAAGTGAGAACACGGGACACACGTCCGCATAATAAAAATTGAATCTATCTTGTAAGCCTCTGTCAACGTTACACACATCTATATAAACCTAATATACCATATTATATCAAGTAGTGTAGGGTATTGAACAAATTAAGACACCAGCTCAGCATCTAAAAAACAAATTTTGGCACATCCGATTTCGGGATAAGTTTAGGCAAGCGGAATTTTTTCCTTTTTTACTGCACGAATCGATATAGAATTAGTTAGCATTAAATACTTAAGTGCTCCAAACATCCTTAAATTCTTCCTTTAAAAGCATTTGTTAAAAATGCAAAAGAAAAATTTATGTGGCTAAGCTAAGGTGACTGTGAACAACAACTAAAAGATGTCCGAAATTTCATTTTTGAAAATTGAAAGGAAAATAAAATTATTTTTAAGGAATTAAAGTAAGATAGATGATAGCCTTCTCTCAATTCTGAAAAGATGTTGTCGAAAAGAGAGAGGGAGAGAGAGTAAATATTATATTCGTCATGAACCTCATTATGCCAAACACTCATTCCAATGAAGTACTACGAACATCTTGAAGTGACTCTTTTACATACGTAAAACCAGCTCTTCGCTAGTTTGGGTTTTTACTAAGAAAATGACCATTGATCGAATCTTGCTTGCACTGGTGATCTGAGGAATCGTGTCGCCTGATTGCCTGCCACACGGCGAAGACTGATTTCAATTTTTTCAATTTTTGTCAAAAGTACCTTGTCAGCCACCTGCCCCTATTTGCCTTGGTCGGTGAAAATATATGTGCCACCATGAGACCGCTAACAAGGACTAAACAACATCGCTCATACAGAGTATTCCGCTAAATCGAATCGCACACTGATCAACTGTATGTACGGATTTTTGATAGGCACGTTTTGTACGAATTAAACAAACGGACAAAATTAATAATTCTTCGATTAATAATCCTTCTTGTTGCAGATTCCTGCAGCGTTTAATCTGTGCAACTACCGCAAATGGCGTAACCTCACAGCGTCCGATGGCAAACAAATTAATTTGGCAAACGATATTCAACGTCCACCAAGGAGTAGAACAATGCCTATTGAAAGGGGCTCCACAACTCTTGAGGTGCCAATATAGAGGATTCGAGACCTCATTCTTTAACGGACCCATGAAATTTCTGGGTAACCGCAGCATGGACACCCACAGTTTGATCGTCCACAATTTGGTCGTCCTTTGGGCTTACGCCATATTACACGGCTTTAGATGTTATCTTATTGTACGCAGCCGGCGTTACGCTTACCTTTAGATCTGACGTACATCGCGGAAGACCATCCAGCACGCTATCCTTTTTCGAGACAAAAATGCTTTTAAGGGCGTCATCTCACACAGCACATACTTAACAGCGCCACACCCCAATGCTACTTTGTAGTAGCATCAGAGTCTGAGCAAAGTTGATCGCCTCTATGCTAGTGAGCTATATGGGGGAAGGAAAAGGTTGCCTCTCGTAAAGAAAAGAGAAATCTCTTCCAACACTCCCCTTAAACTTCTACGAGAAAGTCCCGTTATTAGGTTATAGATAGTGGACCTTAAAGCCTTCTATGCCGAGTAACTGAACAGCTTTAATAAATAAGAGGCTCTTTAAAAAGGCTCTTTTAGAGCACGCCCTGAAACTTTGTTGTACTTATTGAGTACGCCAGAAGTAAAGAACGCTTAAGTTAATATTCATCCTTGAAATTATTTAGGAAAACAATATAAAAGAGAAAATCTATTTTTACATTGCATTTTTCTCTAAGTATTTTTCTTACCTTCGCTCAGTTATTGCAATAGAAGAGGTTTGAGACTAAATTGCAAAACTCCAAAAAGTAGTCTAAAATATATTGCATCCGATAAGCCACTTGGAAAGATATCGACTAATGACTACTGCTGCAATAATGCCGCTTGCCAAAGAGAATTTCTTTCATTTTTATCTTTCGGTTTCAATATCGTAGAAACGTAGAGCGATCTCTTCAATATGAAGAAGATATAAAATGACAACAACATGAATTGTGAAAATATACGGCGTAGAGAGAATAGGAGTAGAGCGGGTTCAAGTAATCTTTGATTCAGAGTTGGTACTTTGGCCATCATTATTCCTTCCGCCAGAACGTGGCGCTAACAAAAACGAACGAATTTCCTTATTATTCCAAGAATAATTTTGGCGACTTAAGACCGCGTAAACTGTCGATGTTCGCAAGGGCGGCGATAGTCCGGTTGCACACATTACCCAAACATACCGATTTTCTTCATGTTTTTCGGTTGGTTCATCGACTTTTGGATATAATAGGCCGCAAGTTTCTCAATATTTTGTACATGCTCAAATCCAAATAATCCCAAACTTTTCGTTCCTTCATCACGTTGTTTTCGAGAGCCAACGTCGATTGGAACGATCTCGTCCCATATCATTCTTGAATTTTTCTCGAAAGTATATACACATATATAGTGCTTATTAAGGGACGTAGGAAGATGTTTGTTAAATGCTTTAACGTTGTACTTTAATGAAGTTGTGACTAGGAGTTGTACGAAGTTTTTTTTGTACACCTACCTACCCATCTCTCTTTACTTAATCTTCACAAATTCATATAAAACTATTTCAAGAACATTTTTTTTCAATTTTCTGCATATTCTCTGCTATGCTGTGCTAAGGAAACTTCTATGAGATTTGCTCAATAGTTGATCACAAGTCAGTACAAGTTATAAAACCAATTTCACATTTCTTTTCCGCTATTTTGCGACTTGCGACATTTCTGCGACGTTACTCAGAATTCGGCTGAATGGGTGCAATTGCAAATGGAGAGGTGGCGATTTGCAAATCGCTTATGCTTTTGTTCCAAGCTGTATGCCTTTTTTAACGGTAAAAGACTGTAGAAATACATATAGAACGACACATAGATATATAGCTGTATGGACGGAAGAATGCATGCATTCGCAGGTTGAATCAAGTGAATACTTGGCAGGCTATCAGAACATCAATATATATATATATATATATATATATGCTCTAAAATATACAGTAAAAGATTCCTGATGCACAGTTTCGTATACTTTTATTAAAGATGCGAGCGTAGAATGTAAAATTTCTTTCCTTTCACGTCCTTATGTCTTGGCCAGAAAAACTTATAATGCGCACTTTTTGTATTTATTGTATGGCTTCGCTTAAGGAAAGAACGGTATTATAACAATTTTGAAACGATACACGCACCATTGCCTACTTTATTGCTGTTGCGTGTAATAACGTTCGAAAACAACGAAAAGTTTGTTATAAGAAATTTTTGTATTTTCTTCTAAAAAAATGCGACTTACATGGTATATAAGGGATAGTTTGGGAATGGTTTAACAATTGAATGCGAAGTTTTATTAGCGAGAACAACAGGTGAAAGATTCCACAAACAGATTATGAACCTAAACCCGGCAAGGGAGGGCAAAGCAAATAAAAATCGAAACTTCAATATGTTACTTGGGTGGTCAGGAAACAAAGAACATCAATAAAAGTTCATGAAATATAAATGTGAAAATCTATTCTATAATACATGAAAAGTAAATTGTTTAGATGCTGTTCTCTTCTTTCCTTTTTTTCTTATCTATTCTAGTTATGTGATACAAAAGAACAAAATTGAACAAAACCTAAAATTGCAATTTAAACCGCCATATAAAAGGGGAAATAAATTACTTTAACAAATCGCTGTTTTATAGCCGTTTTTTTTTATGCCGATTATTGGAAACATCTTATAACATTTTCTTAAGCAAG